TAAGAAAATGGAAGAAATTAATCTAATCTGAATTTTAAAGCATTACTTTAGATCCCCTCCCTCTAAATATATCAATAAACATTAGAAAGTGATACTCCTGACTACCATACAAGTTTAAGAAGATAATATTGGTTTTAAAGAATTCAAAGCTATAAATAAACAGCAACAGGCTCTTTAACCCTCTGGAGTCTAAGGGTATTTTCTCGATTTTTAGATGTTTTCTTAAATCACCTTTTAAATGTATTTCTTCTAACATGGCACCCCATGTGTTACATATCAAAATGTTCAGGACAATCTCTGGTATTGCTATATATGCAAATTACTCACCTTAGAGCACTGTTTGATGAGATAAGTAGCTCAAAAGCTTAACATTTGACATCCGATTTTCGGAAAATCTTCAAAACTTTTGTGAAAACACAAATTTACTCATGTGATCGAATTGTTTTGGTGTTTTAGATTTGGTTACCAAAGTCTTAGGATCACAAAAGCAGTGAAATATTTGAATTACACTGTATATAAATGTGTTATTCGTGTCTAAAATGAAAAAAATGTAATTCGAATTTTGAGTAAAACAGGTGTTTATCACTCTACTTTCACCACAGCAGGGACTGAGATACATCAGGACTGAATAATGACTTCATATTACATACCAAGGTTCATGTGATGTGTACAAATACAAATTGAGCATTCAACCTTTTTTTTCAACCAACAATTTATTATAAATATGTTTTTTTCAACCAACTATTTATATAAATATAAGAAACTGGAAAATATAACTATTTACAAAATTGAACATCAGAACTTTCAACCAACTATTCATTATAAATGTCAAGACAGTGTCAAGGTCTTTGTCTGTCTTCCAAGACAGTGGGTCTGGCTGCTGTGTAGGTGGGGGTGATGGTGCATGGGCTGCTGTGTAGGTGGGGTGTACAAGTGCTATACGAGACCTCCACGAGACCTCCTTGCTGGCTGGGTTGAAGGTGATGGCTGTGGTGGAGCCTTTGTGCTGAGGTGTATCTTGACCTGGTGGCAGCTGCAGATAGAGGTGGAGGCAGCTGTAGTGATGCTGGTCTGCTGGTCCTTGGTGGTGATGGCTCTGGTGAAGGCCCTTGCGCCACAGTAGATCTTGACCTGGGGCAGGCACAGATGGATGTTGTGGCTGCTGGATAAACGCCGCATGTGGGCCACTAGGCCCAGACAGCTGTGAAACATCTCGGTAAAACAAATGTAGGACAATAATTACAACTAATTTCATTGAAATAAAGTTCAAGTAAAATGTTGCTCTAGCATAAATAACAATGCACACATAAAAAGAAAGTTTGGGAGGTTGGAGAAGGAATCTCTTTCGATCTCTCACTCTCTCACACACACACACACACTCACACACAGGTATTTCCAGTTACTTTACATTCAGTATAAAATCACAGACCAGTGGTGATCCGTGACTTTTATACCTAGGCCCTCTGACCCCCCTTCCCTCGGAAAAAAAAGAAGAGATATTACATCACAGCGTATAGGCTACTTCAGCGGAATATTGACCCTTGTCAATTAACTACGGGGGTCCCTCAGGGCTCTGTTCTTGGTCCCCTCCTCTTCTCCCTGTACACAAACTCGCTCGGATCAGTCATTAGCCCGCATGGTTTTTCTTACCACTGCTACGCTGACGACACCCAATTAATTCTGTCCTTTCCCCGCTCAGAGACCCAGGTCGTTGCACGCATCTCTGCTTGTCTAGCTGACATCTCTCAGTGGATGTCTGCTCACCACCTCAAGCTCAACCTTGACAAGACTGAGCTGCTCTTCCTCCCGGGAAAAGATTGTCCCACTCTTGACCTAACAATCAACATCGGCACCTCAGTTGTTTCCCCCGACTCAGACTGCAAGGAATCTGGGTGTGACCCTAGATAACAACCTGTCCTTCACTGCAAACATCGCTGCTACAACCCGTTGCTGCAGATACACGCTTTACAACATCAGGAAGATACGTCCCCAGCTGACTCAGAAAGCGACTCAGGTTCTGGTCCAGGCTCTCGTCATCTCACGCCTAGACTACTGCAACTCCCTCCTGGCTGGTCTACCTGCATGTGCCATCCGACCTCTGCAGCTCATCCAGAATGCAGCGGCTCGTCTGGTCTTCAACCTTCCTAAATTCTCCCACACCACTCCGCTCCTCCGCTCCCTTCACTGGCTTCCGGTAACTGCTAGAATCCACTTCAAGACACTGGTACTTGCTTACCATGCTGTGAATGGATCTGGCCCTTCCTACATCCAGGACATGGTTAAACCGTACACCCCAGCGCGTGCACTACGCTCTGCATCAGCCAAACGACTCGTTGCGCCCTCGCTGCGAGGGGGACTCAAGTTCCCATCGGCGAAAACACGTGGGTTTGCTGTCCTGGCTCCAAGATGGTGGAATGAGCTCCCCATTGACATCAGGACGGCAGATAGCTTGCACATCTTCCGGCGCAAACTGAAAACTCATCTCTTTCGACTCCACTTCGAGCATTAGAACTATTAACGAAGCACTTTTATACTAATAAAGGACTGGCTTACCTAAAGCCAGTTGAGTAGCACTTGAAATGTTTGGCTCTATGAAACCTGATGTACTTATATGATTCTGTTTTCTTCAAGGTTGTGTCTTCCTGGTCGAATGTACTTATTGTAAGTCGCTTTGGATAAAAGCGTCAGCTAAATGCGATGTAATGTAATATAAAAACAGCGGCCCGGGGTGCAAAACGTATCAATGACAGCGACCCTCTACCACACAAAACAACATCATTTATATAAACACCCAGAGGTGTGGACTCGAGTCACATGACTTGGACTCGAGTCAGAATCGAGTCACCAATTTGATGACTTGAGACTCGACTTGACACAATCACAAAACACTTGTGACTCGACTTGGACTTGAACACCAATGACTCGGGACTTGACTTGGACTTGAGCCTTCTGACTTGAGGTGACTTGATACTTTAATGTATTCAAAAAAAGTTCCTCGCAATATATTTACCGAAGCAACAAACCAAAACGTTGAATCTCCGCAACTTCCCCCATGATATAGCTATTAACCAATCAGGTTGCAGGAGAGAGTCATGGCCATGACGCTGCGTGATGCTGCGTGACCCAGCACTATCGAAAAAATGAGTCGCATTTGGCTACAAAAATTACGCAGTTTTAAACAAAAAGTGAACGGCACAATGCGTAACCTGTGCCGCACACATCACAGATGGAGACGCAACAACCTCGAACTTTGTTCGCCATCTGAAACTGCATAAAGAACGGTAAGTCAAGTCTACTATTAGCTTTTTGTTCATCTCGTGCAAACGTTAGCTTAAAAGCTAAATATCTGTTGTCTATCCAGCTAAATAGATGCGGGTTCTATAAACAGTCTATGGTTAAAAATATACGGTTGCATTGAATACACAATGTAATATGTTAGCATTACAGGGGCCAAGCCGCTAGGATAACGTTATGTTGCCGTTCTCCAGAGACAAATAATGAATATCCCGCGTATGCGATCCAGTTGTTGTGATTTGATTCTGTGCACTGGGAACGGTCTAGCAGGTAGTCATCATTGTGTCTATAAATATAGCCTTTATATTTACAAAAAACGACCAGAAAGGTATCTAGTTCCCTCTATATTTTCACTGATGGATAGCAGTGGTGTTGCACTCAGAAATTCGGTTCTCTTTCTTCACTGTCGGCACTTTAACCCCACAACTAGGGGTGGGCGGATCGATCCCAAAATATCGATACCTCCGATATTACGTTACGTTTCAAAATATCGATACTAGAGCCAATAGGATCGATACTGTTATACTTTTTTTCTCGTCTCCTCTACTCGTCAATTTCTTCAAAAAACTATGTGCAGACGAACACAAGTATATGCTCTTTTCTTCTCTCTCCACTGCTGTCCTCTTCTCCTCGAGGCTCCCTGCCTGAACGCCGATTATCAAGCTGACTGACAGCAGCCAGCAGGGCAGGACAGCAGCAGCCAGCGACTCGCGAGTGCAACACACACACGCGCATGATGGCTGAGAGAAAGAGCAGCGTTGTGTGGAGCAATTTCACAACTGGCCATTAAAACTTAGCGAACTGTGATGTGTGCAAGAAGACAGTTCGCTACTTTGGCCACTTTGTATTGTTATTTTTCATGTTTGCACTTTAAATTTGCAAAAGTAAAACGTGTATTTGTCTATAAAAACTGTCCTGTCTTTATTCATGAAAATGAATTCAGATTTAGTCTATTTATGATGATTTCAGCTCAAAAATCATGTCATGCAGCTCTCCCCTATATGAAAGTACATAAGACGCTTTTCATTAAAAAAGTATCGGTATCGATATCGGTATCGGCGATACTGGCCCTGAAATACTTGGTATCGGATCGAATCCAGATTTTGTGGTATCGCCCACCCCTACCCACAACGAGTACACTTTGAACACACACTTATTATTTGCTGCGTCATACAATTTACCGCCATAAACTCCTTACTTATTTTAATCCAACGAAGAAGCCACGATCTTCTTCTACTTGTTCTTCTCTTGTCTACTCAAAGGCGCCTCATTGTGGCGAAAACTAGCAACAACAACAATATTAATACTGTTTCGAAGCACACAATATGGAGATGTGAATGACATTAGAAAATGATTAGGTACAACATTAAATACAAATAAAAATAGATTGTGGGGTCCCTTATAACATACTGTACACAGTGGAATTAAACATTCTTAAGATTAACGTTGCATTAACTTAACATCAGGGATCTTATTAATAAATTCCTGCTGACAGTCACAGTAGCCTAACCTTACTGATCCCTCTTAAAATTAAAATAAAAACACGTTACTTTACCAGCAGATAGACAATTGATAATTCAATTATTAATGTGACTAATAAAGAGCAGTTTGATCTGCAATTCGAGAAAGAACAACAATGCATTTACTAATTGTTCTATTCTTCATATGTTTACCTTTTTACAGATATGAAGAATACCAGAGGAACAAAAGCATTACAAATGATGCACAACAGCCTTCAGTCTCACAGTTTTTTGGCAACCAAGATGGACAGTACAGCGTGAATCATCCACAGCAGAAAGCTATCACCAATGCAATACTGTCCGACTTAGTTGTCGATTGCAGCTTGCCCCTGTCAATTATTGAAAATAAGAGTTCGCCACTTTCTGACAGTAGTTGACAGAAAGTACAGGCCAGTTTGTCGCAGGACACTGACTGTGAAAGTAGAGAACCTTGCTGTGGAAAGACGTTTCAAATTAAAAACCCGGATGAGTAATATAAATCATGTCTCAGTCACTGTGGACATTTGGTCTGACAGAAAGATGAGGGGATTCCTTGGTGTTACTGCACACTATTTAGAGAAGGATGAAGAGAGGATAGAGCTGAAATCCAATCTCCTGGCCTGCGACCGCTTCAAAGGCTCACACACAGCTGAAAGAATCTGTGAGCAATTTGAGGCTGTATGTGATGAGTACAGCATTAAAAACAAGATAGACTACATTATTAGTGACAATGCTGCCAACATGCGTAAAGCGTTCACTGTGTGCTTCCCAACGGAGCAAGAAGATGAAGATGTTGATGAAGAGGATGATCTTGATGACCCAGAGCTATGGCATGACCTTTCCCTTGAAGATCAGGAAACGGTAGATGCTGCCCTGGCAAAAAAACAGCGCTTGCAGTGTTTTGCGCACACACTGCAGCTGGTGGTGGGAGACGGATTGAAGGAAACAAAAGGAACAACCTCTTCTCTTGCAAAGTTGTCGAAGCTCAGCTCACTGCTGCATACAAGCACAACTTTTAAAGATGTGTTTGATGCTGAATTTGGGGAACAAAGAGGTATCCCTGCTGCTGTCACCACAAGATGGAATTCGACACTCAGGCAAGTGAAGGCAGTACTCCGTTGTGAACATCCGAAGCTTTGCCGTGTACTAGAAAAGGCTGGGCACAAGGAGTTGTTGTTCACAGCACGGGAGTGGAATGTTTTGAAGGAGTTGGTGGACATCATGAATCCATTTGGAGAAGCAACAGATTTGACACAAGGGGAAAAGATAGTGACAATCAGTTCTGTTGTTCCATCTGTCCTGTCCCTAAATCACCACCTTGAGAAGCTGAAGCCACAAGTCCGTTTCCTCAGCAGCCTGGTTAGAAGTCTCCAGGTGTCCCTGAAGAAAAGGTTTGGGGGGATTTTCATCAATGTGAAAATGGCCACATTAACACAGGATGGAACAACTGCCCCCTTTTCAGATCCTGTGTACCTCAAAGCAGCTGCTTTGGATCCAGCCTTTTCTCTGATGTGGATAGACCACCATGTGCTGGTCAGTCTTGAGGTCAAAGCTGAGGTTCTACAACATGTGAAAGGTAAACTTAATTGAGTTTATTATTACTTATTTACTCATAATTTCCTTTTAATTGATTGCAACAATAATATGTGTTCAGTTTAAACTACTGCATCACCAATACAAAATATAATAAGGGCTCTTTGTGTCTTTTTTTGTTTTGTTTTTACATGTTTTGCCAGAACTGATCCTGCGAGAGGCTGTGGAGACAGAGCAACCTACGCCTTGTGTTGATGAGGAAGAGCAAGAGAGCCTTGGACAAGGTGAAGGGCTGTTTGCTGCCTACCATAAGAGGAAGAAGAAGGATGTTGGGACCACTCCAGCACTGCAGCTAAGTCACTATCTCCACATCGCTGATGGACAGAATGTCCTTTTGTTCTGGGCAATGAACATGAAGGTTCTTCCTTCGCTGTTCAAAGTGGCCATTAGAGTTTTGGCAGTGCCTGCCTCCAGTGCTCCGGTGGAGCGAGTTTTTAGCCATGGTGGCATCATCCTGCGACCCCATCGTGCACAAATGAGTGACCGACTATTGACCAATTTGGTCTTTTGCAAATGCAATGCATTATAGGGCCCCGAGATAATAGAAAAAGTGTGGGTGAATGAAACTGTTACTTCATGTTATGTTTATGCAACTGTTATGTTTCTCAGCCTGTCGCTTAATTTAAATTTGGTCTCTTGGACCCTGAGATTGATGCATCTATAACTTGTGTTTTTCACTCACTCACACTGTCTGACAATAACAAACACACACTTCACATAATTTTTCATAATAAAAAAAAGCACACAAATTGTGTGGCTGAATGAAACTGTTACTTCATTTTATGTTTATGCAACTGTTATGTTGAAAAGCACATAATGACTTGTTTAAGACACGGTTTTCAAAGTTTAGGACTTGGGACTTGACTTGAACTTGCCCAACCTGACTTGAGACTTGACTCGGACTCGAGCGCAAAGACTTGAGACTTGACTCGGACTTGAGGGCAAAGACTTGAGACTTGACTCGGACTTGCCAAACAATGACTTGGTCCCACCTCTGTAACCTATCATGACAGGGCACCCACAGCCAAGTAACAATTAGAAATGAATTAAGTCGGCACGGCGGCCCACATTGAAAATGACTTCGGCCTACCTTTGATGATCAAATCACTTAAACACAAAGTCCAACCTCCTGTCCTTTTGGATGAAGCACTTGATGGCGGGTCATTCAGCTGATCCTTTGCCACTCCAGTTTATCATTGTAACTCAATCTTGAAAATGACTCGGTTAATAATTTCGCAACGATGTCATCACTATCACTGAAGTGAGCCATCATTAACGAACTTATGCTAATCATAAATCTATCGATCATAAATCTATCGTTTAGATTTATGATTCGAAAATAATAAAAGTAGGGTAGACGTGGATATTATCCGGCTGAACAAAACGTGCATTTATCTAACAGGTACGTTCCACAGACCTATTTCGAGCTATTTTCCAAAATCCTATGGAGAAATCACATTGGTTTCTGTCGAGGGAATCCGAGCGCAGCTTACTTCCGGGTTTTAGGACGCGTCACTGCACCATTTGCAAAGACCTCACAGCGGGCGGAACTTGTCATAAAGTCCGCAAAAATAGTGCCCGCCCATTTAGAGGGAAGATATGATTGGTCAATTGTGCTGTCATTTGACATTACTCTCTCGTTGAGTTACTATAGCTGGCCCTCTGTGAATGTCGAGAGGGACCAACAAGCTCTCCCGTCTTCACATAACTCGCAGAGACGGCATTTAACCCTTCACATTCCAACAGAAACTGAACAGGCAGATTCGAAGGATTTATTTCTTTGGAAATGTTATTTTAAATACAATTAAATCAAGTTATTTTGGTAAAACTAATGAAAAATGTAACAACAAAAAATATATGAAAAATAATATTTAAAAAAAAATGTTTTTTTTTAAATGTTTTCAAATATTATTTTTTAGAATATCTTAGGCCCTCACAGAGGGCCTAAAATAGAGGGTGCTGACGGCTCGCCACTGTCACAGACACACATAGGCTACATCTGATTACAAAGTCTCATCTGTACAGGACGGTAAAATAATAACAGGCACACATAACTAAATCTATGACAAAGTCTCATCTGTACAGAACAGTATGATAAAATAATCGATGGCAAAAACATGTCACTGTAAATGTCTCCGTTGTGGGACGAATAAAGGATTAATTTAATCATCTACACATGTAATCTCACTTTTACACACCAAAATAACGTTAACACAGAGTAAACGTTTGCTAATGGAGAGTCTATTTTGTCCAATAAAAAGTTCATGACTATCGATAAAAAATATATATCAATAAACCTATTGTTCATTTTCGCGGTATTCCCCACACATTGCCAGTACACTATTACTGTAATATTTACACTTATCCAAGTCCAAATGGATCCTTGTTGTTGTCTTTGTATTATTCTTCTTCTTCAGAAGAGTCGAAGTCTCTCTCTCTCTCTCTCTCTCTCCTCTCTCTCTCTCTCTCTCTCTCTCTCTCTCTCTCTCTCTCTCTCTCTCTCTCTCTCTCTCTCTCTCTCCTCTCTTCTCTCTCTCTCTCTCTCTCTCTCTCTCTCTCTCTCTCTCTCTCTCTCTCTCCTGAACTGATGGGAGACACGTGGTTTATGTTTTTTTTACTTGGTGGGTAGGTCCTTAGTGATTTCTCGATGTCCATTGGTCATTTCAGACCACCTTTGAGCGGCCATATTGGCTGCTGTGCCCTGGTCACAGTCTCACAGGAGATACCGCTGGAAAGCTACCCTTCCAGCGATTCCGCGGATATCTGAATCATGTTTCTACTCCTTATAATCGAAAATATGATTAATTACGTAAAATGATGCGCACCTGGACTTACCGACTCCAGAGGTTAACCAAGGCACTGTTAGCCTAACATGTAAACTAGTTGTTCACACTAATCCTAATATTATCACTTAATATTAGCAAATTCTATTTTATTTTTTAAAACATATTGATGTAAATACATCCACATATCGATTTGTTGTATACATATTGCCAATAAAAACCTTTATTCACTAATATTAACCAAAAATCGTAGTTCTATCTCCTGTTATCAATGCATTCACATTGCCCGCCATGAACTTCCGGGGAACGATCCTCGTCTACATGAACCACGTGACGATAACCGTTTTAGGACTTCCGTTGTCGTAACTCTTCTATCTATATCGCGCAAGCCCCCAGGAAGTACGCCGGAGTCTGATGAGAATATTCGTTGTGGCCAAACGGCGGTACTACACTTCCTTTAGGTTGCTGGGCCCTGAAACACTAGGGTTGCGTTCCGATAATCCAAAAATTAGCTCCTAAATTCTAACCCTATCTCCTATTCCTTGACCTCTGAGTGAAACGTCACGGGGTTAAGGGATAGTGTATAGGAGAATTCAAAAGGATTTAGGAGAAGAGACTGTGGTACTAGAGAATCCGAATGCACTTTCACTATCCGACGTGTTTATGATGCGCCAGCGGACGTCATGAATGTGCGTCTGCTGCTGTGGGGAAACTATGGAAACTACAGTTTTCTACACAGCGGACTACAACATGGATGTTTAATAAGAACCACGGACTACTGTAAACTCATCTAGAGACTCTGCACCGTGCTCTGATGCTGTTGTTTTATGCTTTATGAACGTGGACAACAGAGAAACATATTCTTCATGACCAAAGTTGGAATTGAAATAAAAAAGGAAAGTGAAACTTATGCTCGTCACCCTCTCCCTCCGGTCCACATATGATTGTATGAACTATTAAAAGATCTTAAAATAAATACAAATGTATTTATTATAAACGTTAGTCCTTAACATCTATCACTGTGTATATCACCATTCAAACATCTTTTAAAAGTTGAACAACCCCCACACAGCTCAGTGAAATGTTGACTTTATTTGATCATTTCAGTAAAAACTAACGTTCATATTTCTCTTTTTGATTATAATACTGATGAACGTTCAAAACAAAGCACTTTGGCAACTTACCACATACGTTTTAAAATGCTTAATAAGCACCGTAACTTTCATGATATCATTTCTCCCATTATCGTTTGTGTCCGTGAACGGCCGACTGTTGAGTGACGGAAAATGCTGCGGCTGCAATGCATTGTGGGGCAGCATTTTCTCCTCTCCTTTCGGCTAGGGAGGTCCAGTGGTTCCTAAGCTAAAGGAGGTTATAAAGGAAGTTTGAAACCTCCTTTCCTTTCATTTGGAGAATTGGAACGGCACTTATTGGCTGCCAGTGACGTACTTCCGGGTCATTTCACTTGGTTAGGAAGGTTCCTAAGCTAAATGGACTATTGGACTGGGCCCTAGGCTTGTTTGAGATGCGTTGCGGCCATTATACATCCATGGTTGCGGCTCGCCTCGAAAGTAGACGAGAATAGCCGATCGCAGCCGGGGGAGGTCTCATAAAGCTCGCCTGAAGTCGGACAGCTCGGAGTCGACTTCGTCTTCTTCTTCTCTCGGTTTTTTGGCGGATTGCAAACAACTTTAAGGTGCATACCGCCACCTCCGGAGTCGGCTTGACTCGGTTTGCATTTATAAAGAATGCACACATGTGTTTAATGGTTAATGTCAGATATGTACTAAGTAAATACATTTGTTCCTGCTCAAGATTAGATTCAACTTTATTGTTATTGCACATATTACAGGTACTGAGACAACAAAATGCAGTTTAGCTTCTAACCAGGAGTGCAACAAGCAGTAAAGTGAAAAGTAATGTACACAATCTACAGAATAAAATATAGAATTAATTGAATGATGAATAAACAGTGAGGGGTATGAATACACTGATTAGATATACACAGCAGCCTGTGAGCAGTATGAACAGTGTGTATGAATATGCTAAGATATATAAAATATGAAACGGTAAGCAGTGCAAGTAAAGTATAAAATATATGGATATTAATTTCATGATGATAAACATTGTGGAACAATGATGAAAAATGGGAATGGATGTGGCGACGTAAAACTGACACAAAACAATAACGAACTTTTGCCGAGCCAATTGGAGAGTTTCTCGCGTCGAAAGGAGCCAGTTGAGGTGGTTCGGGCACCTAGTTAGGATGCCACCTGGGCGCCTCCCTAGCGAGGTGTTCCAGGCACGTCCAGCTGGGAAGAGACCAAGGGGTAGACCTAGGACCAGGTGGAGGGATTATATATCTTCGCTGGCCTGGGAGCGCCTTGGGATCCCCCAGTCAGAGCTGGTTGATGTCGCCAGGGAAAAGAAAGTTTGGGGCTCTCTGCTGGAACTGCTACCCCCGCGACCCGACCACGGATAAGCGGGAGAAGATGGATGGATGGAATTGGAGAGTTTCATCACCAGCACTTGTTAAAAACCACCAATGAGCGCTCAGCTCGAGATACCAGCGAGTCATTTCCCATCAAGCATTTCGCTTCCGCAGCCCGTGGAGAGGAACTGCGCCGCCTCACCGCGCCTCGCTCTCAAGGCTGCGGGCGTCTTTGTACCGCGAGATTTCAACGTCTCATGTAGGCGAGCCTCCAGAGCAAGTCGGACAAAATGACTAACCATCATGCAACGCACTAGCAAGACGTTGATCGCAACTG